CACCACAGGCCTGGCTTAAAAATACAAAAGTTTTAAAGAGGGCTCAGTGGTATACAATGCTCCTGAATTTTATCTCCAGTACCTCAAACCAAAGTAGAATTCATAAATCAGTTTAGGTTGTAGGATACATGGATAATACAAACAAAAATCAGTTGTATTTCTAACTACTAATGACAGTTGGAGAATGGCACGTGCTCTTTATCACATCCCTCTTGCAAGTGGGGCCATGGTAACCCTTCTGTTGTAAAAGTTCATGGTATTTGTGTAGCAGGTGTCTTGGATGATAGATAGCATGGTGTCCCCTGTACAGAAAGCAGATTTTTCTCATTGCCCAGTGTAGTAAAGGTGACTTCCCTCTGGGAACAGGACAAGTTTGGGCCCAGCAGGAGAGAAAAGTTCCTAGGCTTGGAGTCTTTCAGCTGTGATACCAGTGTAGCATCTTCCTGGTCTCCTCATCTGTCTCATGGGAGTTGGGCTGCAGGGGAGTTGCACACATCCTGATAGTCGTGCTGTGCTATAAGTATTCTCATCTTGGACCTAGGCCACAGTGTGAATGTCATCATTGTCTGTCAGTGTCTGTGGCACTGTGAGTAGCTTGTCAGCTTGTGAAGAGCACGCACAGTCTCAGCCCCTTTATGTTCTTGACTTGCAGGCATGAGGATGCAGGTAACAGGAGAAGGCTTCAAGAGTAGTGTCTCAGCCTGTGCTCTAGCTGAAGAATGGGAAGACACAGCCATCCCGTAGTAGATGGCCTTACCCAGGTGGCTGGCAAGGGGTGGTGGTGAAGGGGCAGCTGTTTTACCTGCTGATGAATATGTAGAGACTTAGCAGGGAGTCAAGCTTAAGCAGACCATCTGGATGTGCTTCAGTGTTGCCCTTCCAAACCATCCCATGGCCTGCTGCAGTGCAGTATGGCTTTTCTTGTAAGAGTTTGGGAATCCTGGGAGCTGGTAAAATAGAGCCACAGTAAGGATACACAACTCTGGGTAGACTAGAAACCTTAGGCATTTGTTAGGTTGAGCTGCAAGAGTGAGTACCTGACAATAAAAGGATTGTACAACATTGCTTCTGGTGTGGGACTGAAAAACTTCCGTGCTCTGTTGGAAGCAGGTTGTTATTCTACTCCCTCAGTGGGGATGATGCCTGGATTCCAGTGATGGGCTTGGGTAGGGTTCATCATAGCAGGAAGCTGGCGGGCACTGTGGTCAAAGCTCTATTGTATATGCTCATTTGGAACTTGCCTGCTGGGTTTGTAAGTAGAGTGATGTATGTCTGTGTAGGACTGTGTCATGAATTCAGTAAATGCCAAAGAGGATTCTTTCAGTCAAGAAGAGTTACAAACAGGACTTCCATATAAAAATGAGCTAGAACTTTAGCACTCCAACCCAAGTGATTCCTATGAGCTAAAGTTACCGTGACTTATGGTTTTGCAATCTATATAAAGAACACATCTGACTCAATAGAAAGACTAAAAATGTAATACTAAACAAACAAACAAAAAAAACCCCAAAGCCTCCTAAGACTTTAAAAGATTTACACATAGACAGTACACATCTAGAATGATGACCCAAATCATTATTTATGTGGGAATTGTTAACTGAACTATGAAGGTTGGAAGTGTGTTCATGGTAGAGTGCATGCCTAGTGCTTCTGAGGCTCTGGCTTCTGTCCCTAGCACAAATAAAAAGGAAAATAAGCAACCAGCCATGAGATAGCACTTCATATACATTACAGTGGTTACAGTGCAAAACATGAGCAAAAGGGCTGTAATACCAGTTGTTGGCCAGGATGTGGGATCATTGGAACTCTTGCATCACTGGTGTGTGTATGAACTTGACAGCCAAGTTAGAAAATAGTTGGCAGTTTCCTGCAAAGTTAAAAATATACTTCCCTGGGCTGTGGGTATTGCTTAGTGTTAGTGATTGCCTGACATATGTGAAGCCCTAGATTTGATTTCTAGCACAGTGTGTGTTGGAGGGATGGGGGAGTGTTGTTTGGTGAGTCAGCAATTCTACTTCTAGGTATTTATTCAAATGAAATGCAATGTCATCCATGAAGAACTTGCACATAAATGTTCATATTGATTTTTTTTCAATAATTTTGTTGAGAAACGAGACAGTTTCAAATCCGATTAGTAGGACAGTTTCAATAATTAATACATTGCGTATTGTTCTCTTAGTGGTTATTTATTATACAAGATACAGACATAATATCCAGTTTATAAACACTATTAGAACAAATCTTTCTATTCATTGAATTAAGAGAATGTAGCTATATATCTATCCTCTTTTGAATATATAGATACAAAATGGTCCTTCATTTGTATCCCCTTTTTTTGTTTAGTTTTGTCAGGGAGGGGTATTCCATTGTCATATAAATACTATAGGTGCATGAATTAAGCTAAATATTCTAATATAGTCCGGTAGTCCATAATAGTAGTGGGTTTTCTGTAAGACTGGCAATGTCAGAAGTTGTTGACTTGAGCCTTTTACAGCTCAGCATATTAATATGGCTTTACTTTTTTTTTTATGGCTTTACTTTTTATACTTCATTTTTATACTTTTCTGCTGGATGGTTAAGACCAAGATAAAGCAAGACCGATAGTATCTGACAAGGTCAAATTCCCTCAGGATTTATCCTGAAACCCTGTACCACAGTTTATAGATTCTTTGTGAGTGTCAGCCATGTGGATGAGTCATGGCCATTGCCTGATCAATTTGCACTCTGTGAAAGCCTGAGAGAATGTTTTCTCTCCATGTGACTCTCCTTAGGCACACTACATCATTGACCACTTTCCCCATAATCTCCTTGATCAGAAAATTTGGGACACAACTGAGTTACATGATGTTACAGTACAGGTTCTCCTATGTCCTGAGTCTTCACTGACCTTGAAAGGCTAGGGCCAAAATGTTGACTGTCCTTGCTGTCCTCCTTTGTCTCTAATTTTTGGTCTGCAAGCTTAGGTTGTTAATCCTCCAGAAGAGAAGCTTATTGTTATTACCCTACAACCTAGGCAGTTGAGCTTAACCTCATCATATTGATTTTTATTCATAAGAATTCCAAACTAGAAACAGACCATACATCTGTTACCAGGTGAATATGATGTGGTGATTCAAATGGTGGAATATTATTTAGCAATACAAAGAAACGGAACCAATAAGTAAATCTCAAAAGTATGCCGAGAAAGTCCATACGCTATGATTTCTTTATGTTACAAAGTGATCACAGCCAGTAGAAAAGATGCTTGGAATTTTGAATGTTAAAAGCTTCTTTCTCAGGCCAGTGGTCATGTGGTCTGATACTGAGACGTAAACCCCTCGGAGTGCAGAGTTAGGACCCAACTATGCACCACCTTGCTGAGCTGTGAGCTTTGCTTTGTTTGATGTGCTTTCAGCTTACTACACATTTTCAGCTTATGATAGGTGGATTGGGTGACCTTTGTAAGCTGAGGAATATCTAAGGTTCTGTTTGTGTAAAGGTCCCTTCTGGGCACAAAGCAAAGCTAATCAGGTAACATATAGGTGCTGCGTTGGGTAGGACTTCAGGGTAGGAGTGGACTGCACAGGAGCAGACTTGGTTTTCCCCCTTTTAGAAAGCAGTGGTAAAAATGTAAGAACAGATAATGTTGTGCCTAAATTTATTAACCTTAACATCGTGAAAACTTGAGCTTGAGTCCTGGATCTACTATTCACTAGCATATGACCATGGGCAAATCATTGAACCTCAGTTTTCTTGTCTGTGAAGCGGGGACGATAATGGTTCTTAAGTTATAGGTACAGTGGTAAATTAAATAGTGCCATCATGATGCCAGTGTAGTAGGTGCACAGTAGTAATGGCTTGACAGTAGTAGTTGCCCATGATAATAAATATAACGTGCTACTTGTATGTGTTAGTGTTTTTCTCCCTCCTGCTCTGGTCCACAGATGTAGGCAAGCTCTTTACAATGAGCTGCATCCACAGCCTTTGGCTTGTTTGTCTGTTTGTTTATTTTGTAATATGGTTGTTCCTGGTTAGCTAGACAGGCTCCAAACTTTGAGTCTTTGAATTATAGGCTGAAGTACCACACCCAGCATTTGTGTTACTCATAACCTTGGAGTATTATATTTTTCATTTTAAAAAAAGAAGAAAAGAGTTGCTAATTAGGTTCTTATGGATCCTTGATGTTCTGTGAGCAAGATTATTTACTGCTATTTAGCCTGTCACAAATGTACTGTCCTATTTTTAATTCATGATGATAATGAAACTCATTTCTTGGTTGGAAGTTCTGCCTGACCATTGGTTAGACAACCACAGCTTTGATGGGTCTGCAGTCTGTTTGATTATTCTTATCTTTACCCCCCATGGTCACTGGGTGGACACTTCTTAAATAGTTCCTCATTTGACATTTTAGATGGCTAAGGAGGATTTAAGAATCTTCTTTGTAAGCATAAATTGCCTCGCTTTGATGCAAAGTTATCAGACTCGGGCTAAACTGACCTGTAGTTGCCAAGATGGACTACTCCAGAAATTCCCTTAGCATTATTAAAACATTTAAAGAATTTTTAAAACAATAGTAAAGGATACTATAGGGACCCAGCTCATTGGAGATTTAAAGGTGTTTTTCTCTATGTTAATAGTTGAAGTTTTAATTCTTTGTGTAAATGAGGAATTTTCAAATCTGTTAGTGAAAGAAAAAAAAAAAGCTGGAAAGAAATAAGATGATCAGGCACATAAAGATTAAAACTTTTATGAGATGTGTTTGGAAGATGTTTGATGTGATTATGTGACTTACAGTTGTCTGAATGTGGAGTTGCTAGTGATAAATAGAAATGTTTGTATCTAATTTGAAATTCTTGAAGGCTGTGTGGTAAAATGATTTTACCCAAGTAAACTTCAGGAATATCCTCCCATCAATTTTTAAAATGGTTATATATATAAAACCATTACTATATATATATATATAGTCCCAGACATCTGTTTGGAACCTGTATTAACTCACTCATTTTCGCCTTTGATTGCAGCACCGGAACGCCTTCCTGCAGGAGCACGGCCATGGAGGTGGTGCCAGCTGAGGTGAATAGCTTGCTTCCGGAGGAGATAATGGACACGGGGATAACGTTAGTGGATGAGGATAGTATTGAGGCTGTTATTGTTTCATCCCCAATTCCCATGGAGACAGAGCTGGAAGAAATTGTCAACATAAACTCTACTGGTGATTCTGCGGCCACACCCATTTCCACGGAGCCCGTCACAGTGTACAGTAACCACACTAACCAAGTTGCAGTGAACACCACAGTCCCTAAAGCAGATCCTAATACCACAGTGAAACCAGCTCTTCCAAGTGGCCTTCAAAAACTTGGTGCTCAGACTCCTGTGACTATATCAGCCAATCAGATCATTTTAAACAAAGTATCACAGACATCTGATCTTAAACTTGGCAATCAGGCCCTTAAGCCAGATGGACAGAAGTTAATTTTAACAACTTTGGGCAAGTCTGGTTCACCAATTGTTTTAGCACTACCCCATAGCCAACTACCCCAGGCTCAGAAAGTTACAACTCAGGCTCAGTCAGGAGATGCTAAGTTGCCACCGCAGCAAATTAAAGTAGTTACCATTGGAGGGAGGCCAGAGGTGAAACCTGTCATTGGTGTCTCAGCACTGACCTCAGGAAGCCAGCTGATTAATCCTACAACTCAGCCCTCTGTGGTTCAGACCCAACAGTTAAAAACAGTGCAGGTAAAAAAAACAAAAACAAAAGGGAGCGTATTTAATTAAAATGCATGTTTAAAAACATTAAACTTACTTATAGTTGTGTTTGTGAAGGGTTATTAACTGCATAGCTGTTATTGAATTCCTTTGAATGCTGCCTTAAAGAATTATGTGAGGTTTTCTGTATTTTTAGTTTGATACATCTAATGCTTATGAAGATTTTTGCCAGAAAAATTAGAAAAAATTAATTTTTGGTTAAATTCCAAATCAATGTACTTACAGCCTTTTATTTATTTTAAGATGCCTTTTGTTCTTGATGGTAGTTTGGTTACAAGGGTATGTTGCTGGAAGAAAGGTGGCAGACTTGCTACGAGGCTATCAAAAAACCATGTATGGACAAAATTATTTTGGTAACAGGTGAACAATGGCTCGGGGGCCTTTGCTGCTCTGAGGGGCCACTTCCTGAAAGCAGTATAGTGTATTCTGGCCAGCAGGTTTCTGTTTAGGGTCATCACTCATGTGTGCAGGATGAGAACAGTAGTACTTGGGAGAGGGTAAGATACAGTCTTCAGAAGTAGAACAGCTGGGCTCCAGCCACCCTTTTGCTACCCATTTGCTGTGGAACCTTGGGCAGGTTTCTCTGTCTTCACCGTAAGGTACTTACTTGGTCTTAGAAATATATGGTGCTTTACAGTTCTCAAAACATAGAGAATCCTTCAAAATAGTATCTAGTATTACTATAAGGCTCTAAGATAGAAGGTTACTAGGATGTGTATTAAGTGGGTTCCAGACACCTGCCGTTTTTTTGTTTGTTTTGTAGTAAGATCCAACTGTGTAGTTCAGGCTGGCCTTGACTTCTTGCTTATCCTCCCTCAGCCTCCCAAGTGCAGGGATTACAGGCATATACCACCATGCCCAACTCTCTAGTTTTTAATACTGAAATAGTTTTCTTAGGCTATCACTAAGAAATACAATGATCCATTTAGGATCAGAAAAGAAATGTGTTCTGTGTTTGAACGAAAAGCCTTTCAGAGGAGAGAGGGGAAGGCAGGAGTTAAGATAGTGAAGGAGGTCTGGTGAGAGCCAGCACCACCGCTATTGGCTGATGTTTTGTTTACTGTGTGGACAGAGAGTAAGAAACTTACTTTTCATGGGCTTCACACTTAAGAAGTGTGCAAGTATTTCTCAAACCTTGTTGGTTGCCTGCGTCCCTCTGCCATGGTTATGCATAATGTTCTCTTCATGTTCCTTGTGATTTCTCACTTCTCTAACTTCATTTGTTTTTGCCAAGGCTCTTGAATGAGAGCCCCTGTCAGCATCAGGCGTCTTGGCTCAGTTTGGAAGCTCCTTTTTATTAGTTACAGAATGGTGGTCTTTACCATGTTCACAGGAAACTGAAAAATCGAAGCAACAGAGGAAGAAATACCTTACCAACATCCTGCACTTAACTGATGGTGACAAAAGCATATTTACTATAACACTGTGACCAACCCAAAAATCAGAACATCATTGTTTCTCATAAGAACAATATATAAACATGTTGTTCCAATAATGAGGGTGCTTGTCTCCATTAGTTTTCTACTGTGATTCCCTAAATATTGACAATAAAAACAAAAACTGGAGTTTAAGTCATAGAACTTGTTTTGTCATTATTACTTCTATAAAACCAGATTCTGTTTATTGAATTTTTTTCTGGTTTTGTTTTTGTTTCAAGACAAGGTCTTGCTATGTAGATCATGCTGCACTTAAACTCACCATGTAGCCCAGGCTGGCCTCAAATTCATAAGCACTGGATTACAGGCATGTGCCAATATGCCCAGCTACAATTCTGTTTATCAAAAAACAGTTAATATTTATAAAAATAATAACAAAGCAATCTATTTAGGATATTATTTTACTTATCCAGTTTTTTTTTAGGGAACTCAAATCTTTCTATTATAAGCAACCCAGGTAGCTCTGAAGCACTTAAAAAAAATCTATAAATCTGTATTTTTCTATTCCTATTTTACAAATCTCTACAAGTCTCTTTTTCTATTTCTATTTTAAACCAGAAAATTGGGGTTATTCCATGGTATATATGATTTTCTGGTACTTTTCCTAGACAGTCCTCATTGTTTTCTTCAGTTTAATCAGAGTATTGAGACTGTTAAGAGTGCAAGAAGGAGGCCTAGCTTCAAAACGGGCAAGGTATACTTACACTTGATCACAGATACAGAAACACCTGCATTGATGTGTGTTACCTGTGAGAGTGGTAAGTAAGTAGCAGTCTGGGACAGCAGCCCTACTGACTCCTAAATCCATCTAACACTGATGAAAATTACGTGGATTATTTGGTGATATATTTGGCTCTCTTATGTGTAAATTTTTCTTTTTCAGGTTTTTCTTATTCTACTGATATGATGCTCTTGTTAAAAATGATCCTTTATGCTTTGTTTTACTTAATAAAGTTTGTCCTAGGGTAATTGAGAATCCATAATGTAAGAAGTTATAGTTCCTCTCTGGAACTGGAATTTGGTATTTTAGGCAGTACTTTACTAAAGAAATACAGCGACAAGTGCAAGATGAGATTATTCATTTGAGTAATCAATATACTGAGGGTTATATTGTTTATATTTTTTCCTTATTGGCATGTACTCATATAGTCATATGATTGTGAAAGTCGTTAAACTTTAAATCTTAATTTTTATATCTAAGGTTGATTTTGTTAGACATATAAATCTAAGAATACCAATATGTCTCTCAAAATTATTAATAATATGTATATAGATAAAAATCCAGTTTGGCTTTTCAGTCTATAAACACTTGGAGAATGTTTTTCCTTTGTTTCCCTAAATTGTATCAAGTTTCCAAAGTACAATTATGAATTTGTCTTGCTATCTTTGCAAACTGAGTATGTTTAATACATGCACAAATCTCTTTTACAGTTATTCTTGTTTTACATATATTTTATTGTGTCAGAAATGTATTCTAAATGTAAAAAAATACATTTTAAATGTAATATGCTATTCAATTTTTAATTTGAGTGCAAAGAACTGATACTTATTTAGTTCATGATGTCTTCCAACTTTTGATATATTTCTGTCATTCAAATTTGGTCATGTTTATTCATTTGAGTAGCACTTATTTCCAGTAGTAAATAGTATTTTCAGAAACTCACTGTTCATACCTATCAAAAGATAAAATTTAATATTCACACTAAAATTTTATGATCTAGATCATAGGTAAATTTCTGCCATATCTTTTGGAAGAAGCTATGCCTTCATGTGTGATAATAAAACATTAACACCTCTGTCATCTTTGACTTGTGGGAAATTTTAGTTCAGGTCAACAGTGTGCCAGTATGTAACTACGGATCACAGATGAAAAAAATAGTCTTGCCCTCTTTTTGAGAAATTTAAACAGTATTTTAGTAAATGACATTATAAAATCTTTGCTGTTATGATGATCTTGTTTTACCAGTCTTGTCTCTTTGTATTGTCAGACTTTAACTTGTTCTGTTTTCTCTTTATCTAGTCCTCATACATATCTTGAAAGTTTAGAATCTAGTCATAAGCCTGTCTTTAATATGTGTTCATATTTTGTATTCAAAGGCCAGGTTAGTTATACATAGACATGTCCTTATGGTTCGCACTGTCTTAACTTTACCCTATTGTGTTATTACTGAATGATTTATTGAAGAATATTGCAGTAGTGTTGTTGTTGTGTTTTTTATTGAACATTAAACCTTGTTACTGTTAAATATTAATTTGGTTTTGTCATATGCATATGACTAAAATAACTATAAGATGCAAAAGTATTAATATAGACTTATGGATGTGATCATATTAATATTTTCATGAATAGCTGCATGCATATTAAGTGTTTTTAACATGCCATAGATACAGTTTGTTAAATGAGCTGGCTTTACATGTACTACCATTTGTAAATCTTTTGTCTAATTTTGGTTCAGTAGTTGTTTTATAGAAACAAATGGTCTTCATAATTATTTATATGTTTCAGATTGCTAAGAAGCCCCGAACACCAACCTCTGGCCCAGTAATCACGAAGCTGATCTTTGCAAAACCAATTAATAGTAAAGCAGTTACAGGACAGACAACTCAAGTATCACCACCAGTCATTGCAGGTTATGTTTCTTTATAGTTCATTAAACCATATATTTACGTTTTAGGTTTACTAAAGTCTGTTTTGCTCCTGTAAGTTGTTTTAATGCAAGTAAAGCTTATGATAAGCTAGACTAGTTCATAAGAATTGTCATACTTAATAAATGAGTGCTTCAGGGGAAATGCCTCCTCTCAAGATTATTCCATTACTTCATTCTCTTTAGTTTTTGATAGAAATTTACAATGGAATTAGCAAATTCTTTGTAATTCCAGTAATACTAGTTACACTGAGATAGTGTTTACTGCATGTCCTTTTGAGCTTTTTACCTAGAGTGACTTAGCTAGCCCCTTACAGGCCCGCGAGGGACTGAGACGCCCCATTTTGCTCATGTGGACAGGGAGGTGCTCTATTAGTATGTGACCAAGCTGGGCTTGGTACTTGAGCAGTTTGTCTCTGGAGGTTTTGTACTAGGTCTAATTTAGATTCACACACAGGATAGTATTTCATGGTTTCTGTTTCAATTTTTGGGTTTTTATATTTTAATACAGTTGTGTAGGAACAGAAAATTGTCACAATGGTAAGAATTACTTAAGCAGTAGCAGAATATTAACTTTTACCAGCACGCTCTTTAATGTGGCCTATTTTCTTTTTAATCATATACTTTAAAATATGGCATCACCAGTAACTATACCATCTCCAAAATGTAGACTTCAGGTGTTTATTCTGTTTATCAGCTTTCTTGTCTTTATACTTTCAATGTAGTGAGTTTTTCACTTTGAAATCTTGAATCTGTTAATTCTTCCACTTCTTTTTTATGATCACTACTTTCTTTACTCAACATGGCTCCATGGCCTGTCTTTATTACTCCCTAATAAACAACCTTAGTTGTCTTTTTTGTCTTTCTGTAACAGTTTGAGGCCAGTTCACCTACACTTTGCCTGAAAGGCAGCTGTCCAAACAGGTCAGTTCTGGATTGTTTAATTTTCATTGTGCTAAAGGCTTATCTGGAAGCACTTCTGAATGGTAGACTTTGGACTAGAATTTTCAGATGCCTGGTACTCATCCCTGGAATGTGTTTTCTTGATGAGAGTATTGCAAGATGACTAACTATAGCATGCATATTTAAGCCACTTACTTAGGGAACTAAGAACCAAATAAACCACTTGCTGCATTCATTCATTCATTCATTCATTCATTCATTCATTCATTCATTCATTCATTCATGTACTTATTTATTTAGAGACAGAGTCTTGCTATGTAGTTAAGACGGCTTGAATTCATTCAACTATGTAGCCCAAGTGGTCCTCAAACTTAAGGCGATCTTTCTGCCTCAGCCTCCCGAGTGGACCACTATATATATGCACCACTATACTCAGCTTTTAATAAATATATAAACATAGCAAAGGGCAGCTCTGAAGTCTAGCAGTAATTTGTCATTTTTCTGAGGTTTGGATTGTATGTGGGAGGCCAAGTGAGATGGTGAGGATGAAGATAATGGCCCTAGAGGACTGAAGATTCTCTTTCTCTTTGGGCCCTTGAGAGATTTGTAGGGATGGAAGAGGCAGAGGTCTTGTGGGCTGTCACAAGAAGGTGGCATGGCTCCAGAGGAAAGATGACAGTGGATTGGGGTTGGTTTGAGAAGTAGATTGCAGTTGGCAAGAGTGAGCAAAACTTGGAAGTACTGATGGGCCAGAGTTCCTAGTCCCCTCGGAGGTTTGGGGTGGTAGAAGAAATTAATGAAAGTTATATCTCCAGCGGGGGAGATAGCTTGGTGGTCTAAGCGCCTGCCTGGCAAACGTAAGGTCCTAAGTTCGATCCCCAGTACTGCATGCTGTGCTGGCTGGCCCTGTAATCCCAGTGCTGGATCACTACAAGTGAGACAAGAGGATCACTACAAGTCTGAACTGCATAGTGAGACCCTGTATCAAATAAATAAAAAATTAAGTAAATTTTTTTTAAGAAAATATCTCAGTGCAGACATTTTACTGCTTGGGTCTAGGTTAAGTCTGGGAAGTCCCTTATAATTTCTAGTTACTATATGTGATATATGATGTGCAAACCAGTTGTGTTTGCAGAAGTATCTAAATAATGTGTTTTGTTGTTGTTACTTGGGATGGAACCTAGAACCTTATGCATGCTAGGCCATTGTTCTACTACCAAGTTATATACTTGTCCCAGAATGAATTTAGGTTACATCAGGAGTCCCCACGACTATTAGGGAATGTCACACATGGATGTCACTGTGTGGTCTCTGGGTCTTTTATAATATGTTACAGACTGATCTTAGCCTCGTCTTTGGTGACATGTAGACTTAGTAGCCCTACCAAAATGCATAAAGTAAACCTTTGTTAAATTTCACAAGAATTGTTGACATTAAATTCAGTTTGAAGGGATAACCTCTCCTTTTAACTAGTTCTGTATATCCATTTAAACTTGTATCAGCCAAGTCTGGAGTGGTAGCACACACCAGCACTGCTGGATGAGGTAGGAGGGTCACACATTTCCAGTCTATCATGAGCAGCTTAGTGAAACTCTGTCTGAAATGTTAAAAATTTTAGATAGTGATAGGGTTGTAGCTCAATGTGAAGGCCCTGGGTTCAATCCCTGATTACCACCCTCTCCCCAGTCGTAAAATTCAAATTATAAGTCACCAAAATAGCTGTCCTGTTGAATTGTATAGTAAGTAGGTTCCATCATTTTTATACCACAATTAAAGCTCTTTCAAAATACATTGATTTTGATTTAAATGATTGGGGGCTTCCCATTGAAAATGATGGATATCTTCTATTTTTCAGTCAAGATAAAGTTTTATATATAAATGGCTTTTCTACCATTCAAGTACTAACGAGGCACATCCCTGTTTAGCTTTTGAAATATATAAATGGCTTTTCTAAAAATGCAAATCTGATCTTGTCACATCTTGCTTACTGTTTTCTTGACCTTCCATCAGGATTAAGCTCAGTGCCAGTGCATGCTTAGGATCAAAAGCATTTATGATCTTATGTGTACTTTTTCACTTCACCTTCCATCAGCTCCAAGACTTCTGGGTGGATTTCTTTTTTTCTTTTTTGGCAGAACCGGGGATTGAACTCAGGCCCTTGTGCTTGCCAGGCAAGTGCTTATTCTACTGAGCTATCTCCCCGGCCCCCGGATTTCTTTTAAGAGCTCACAAAATGATCATGTTTTCTTAAGACATAGGAGCTTGCTATTTCCTCTTACCTATAATACTTTTCTTTGCTGTTCTTGTTGGCTAATTCATCTATTTTTATCTTTTGAATTAGTTTGGTTCCTAGGTTTAGTCAGGTACTTTGTTTTTAACCGTTTCCTATGCATTCCCATAAAACTTGATTTTGTCTATCAAATACTTTAAACTTTAATTTCACACTGGCTTTTGACTTATTCATTATTTATACTGTATCTTAATACATACCTTTCTTCTTGTATCTAGTATTTCACTTATGATTCTCTTTTCCTTTCCTTCTTTTCTTTTGGCTTTTTGAGATAGGATCTTGGCGCTTGATATTTGGCTTACGCTGCGTTTGTACTGGTGATGCTTCTGCCTCTGCCTCCCACTTATGGGAATTATAGACATTATAATCCACCACACCAGGATTTATGATTTTCCTTCCCTTTTTTCTTCTTTGTATTTTGAAGCAAAGTCTGCTGTGTAGTTCAAGCTGGCCTTGAATTCCTGTTGATTTTTCTGCCTCAGCCCAGCAAAAATAACTTAAGTCAAACCATCATTAGAGACTGCCTGTGTTTTGTTTGTTTGTTGCTTTTGTGGTGCTAGGGACTGAACCCAGAACCTTGTTCATGCTAAGCAAATGTTCTATCACTGAGCTTCACTCCTAACCCCTTGATTTTTTTTCTTTTCTTTTCTTTTTGGCCCACTCAGCCAACCCTGGGGGTAGGGCTGGTGTGGCATGTGGTGCTGGGGATTAAATAGTGGTCCCTGTGCACTTGCCTAAGCAGGTGCTTTAGAC